TTTGATATTAAGTTGACATTTGTTCAACACCCAAAATGTGCTACATTCTTTTCTGGGAGTTTTACAGAAATGAATCCTTCAATCTTCTCAACAAGCGAGTAAGGAAGGTTTGATTGTTATCCCAGGTTTACAGTGTGGAAATTGAGGCACACAGAGGGTAAGAAAGTTGGCAAAATCACAGAACTAGTAAGTGGCAGAGCTGGTATTGAAACCCTGGCTGTCTGGTTTTGAGGCTTCCAGAGATGGGCTTTGGGTGTTTAGCATTATCGGCATCCCTGAATCTTTGTACCTCTGTGCATCAGTTATCCCAGAAAGGACAGGGAAAGGAGAGTTACACAGGTGCTCATAGTCATGTCTCAGCCACTGTCCACGGATACTGCACCGTGATTGTCATTAATTATCTTCTGGGAAGTAGATCTGTACGTAAAACAGAAAATTAGTCCTTTGAGTTAATCTAGAAACCCTTCCTGCTCTGTTTCTGTCCATGCTTGCCGTGTGACTGCCTGCCCGTGATTGGGCCGTGGAGGAGAAAATGTACTCATGTTTGAACTCTGATATTTCAGTCTGGTTCATAGATTCACGTCTTCTGTTACATTAATAAGTTAAGTTTCTGGTTTTCTTTCATCAGTGTGTCATAAGTTTGGTTAATGTGAAACCAGTCCATGGGAGCCCAGGGGTGCTGACGGTATAATTTCTGAGCACGCTGTGGCACTTCTACCCGAGCAGACCTGGCTGGAGGATGTCCGCCTTCCTCACTGATTTCCCCCAACAGCAGGGTCCTCTCCCACTCCCGGATGTGAGGTTGGGAGCTCTCTGAGTAGGTCAGAGGCCGAGTCCACCAATCAGAAAATGATGAAGTACCTGGAAGTGGGTTTAATAGAAGAAAAGGGCTTCCAGGTAGTCCGATGGGCTGTTTGAGTCCATTTGGTGAAAGCTGTCCTGTGTCTGTGGTTGAGCTGCTTCTTTGCTGTTGAAAAGTCTGGATTAGATGAAGGGATTTTAAAAAGCAGAAAGGAGTGATTTCAGGTTGTACGTCCACACTGGTGAGAAGTGATGGATGACCGCCTGTGTGAGGCATAGACAGAGTCTTACAAACTTCATAAAACAGCTTTAAAAGCTCTACCATCTGAGTGCACTTCACATGGGGTCCAGTTCATCACTGGTCGCGCTGAGAGGGCAAATAATTGATGATGGCAGAAAGGACACGGAGGCATAAAAAAGGTCTCAGTCATGTTCCCTGCTTAAAGGATGCGGCACAGTGTAATATATTTGAGCTGGTTTTTCACCGAAAAATTTTTATTGTTTTCTGGGACTCCCCAGTGCCCCAAGGTTCCATGCAGCTGCGTGTCCCCTCAGTGCAGCACTGTCAGCGCTTGCCCTGGGCTGACGCGGTGTCACGGGGAGCAGGACGGTCAGCGTCCCCGGCTCCTCCGAGCTCCGTCTCCTCATCCGCAGAGCCGGGTTTCTCATCCGTGTCTACTTAGTAGGGTTGTTGAGAATCACACATGATGCTTCAGGTGTGACTCGTGGTTGTCTCTGTGATTGGCATATAGTCAATATTTGATAGAAACACTTGTTTTTTTGTATAATTGTAGCACCTAGATGGCAGTGGTTTTAAATCTGCATTTTTTATAACTTTATTTTTATTTTTAAATATGCACTTATTTTTATTTATTTTTTTGGAAGTACTGGGGACTGAAGCCAGGACATTGTGCATGCTAAGCAGGTGCTCTGCAACTGAGTAATACACACCCTCCTTTTCTACACTTGAAAATAAGTATTGCTATACACAAAATATCTCTTAAACACCATCATGGGACCTCGTCTCTGTATAGAAAATTGAACACGTATGCTATTTCAATAGGAATAAATGTTGAGACACACATTTCTGAATCTGTTAATGTGCTTAAAAACGATCATAGGTAGTGATAAACACGAGTCTTGGATCCAGTAATTCTTAGGGTTTGTTTTGCATCAAGGGAAATTACATTCTACAGAGAAGGCTAATTGGGTCTCTTTGATATTTGGATGGTTTAGCAGATGATGAAGGCTTTCAAAAGCTGACAGTTTTGTATTTTAAACTAACTACAAAGTTATCTTCTACAAGTTGTAAGTAGTAAGCTTGTGAAGTGCCCAGTAATCCAGGGGGTATGTGTCTGTGTCTGTGT